AGCGCTGCTGGCAGGGCCTGTCATTGCCAGTCACTGTTTTGGTTGTTGTTTTGCTTCCTGCCCGAGGAAGAAAAGGTGCTTCACGGGAATCAACAGCCACTGGGTGTCATGTGGTGTCATGGCCTGTCTGTCTGTTTACTTGTGTACATTTACATATCTCTGCGTTAAGAGAGTATTTTTAAGTGTGTGTGTGTGTGTGTGTGTGTGTGTGTGTGTGTGTGTGTGTGTGTGTGCTTGCAAACATATATGTGTTGATGTTGCTGTTTTTTAAGAGTGAGCCGGCAGGAGGAAAAATCACTGAGGAGTTTGGGAGCTCGTGACAAGAGTGTCTCCGAGCCTGATGTACGGTAAACAGTGACTGCTGCAGACTATGTTTACCAATCATATCCTGAGCATAAAACACAAAAAAGAGTCCTTATGCCTGCTTGATAATACACTGAGATATGAGAAAGATGGAACAAAAGGAGCTTTCTCTTAATCCCTCGACATTAACTCTCCATCTTTGTCTGTGTGCTTTTCTGCACACTTGCATGTGTGTTTGGTTTTGCACCTGTGCTTCAGTCGTTCTGCTGATTTCTTTTTTGGTACAATTAGGAGCATGTGCATTGTGGCTACCAACTGTTTTATCAGCGCAAACAGCACAGAGATGATTGGAGGGCCCGAGGTCAAAAGCCTTACGTGTCCACAGAGGAAATTAATTTGTGAGAAGTCCATTAAAAAGCTAAAGACCAACTGTAAGATGGGAATGAGCAGAAATACAATGATTTCAATGCCAACAACCTAGACTGACATAAATATACATTAGTTCCAGAGGTGAATCGGAGGTGAATACAAGTAAACGCCACTCAAATCTGAATTAGCATTTACACAGATCTTGGAGCGTAGCTCTCCGGGACTGCTCTTGTTGGAAATTTTGAGATCTCTTGTTTTGTTCACCGGATCACGGTATCTATTCTAGAGTACAAAGCTGCCATTGACCCACAACCCAAATGTGCAAGGTGGTGATAAAAACAAACGAACCATTTGGCTGCAAAAGCACTGACTGGTGCTGAATCTGTGGGCCATGCAGGCAGATGAGACAGAGGTAAACAGACATATTTAAAACTTGCTGAATCAAACACAGTATGTTAAATGAAATACAAAGAAGAAGCTGTCAGCTCTCACATGCAGCCATTTGCCCTCAGTGCCGGTTTTGCTGCAGTTTTACTCAAGTAAATAACCCAGAGCAGTTTAAAAGCAGGTACAGGCTCCATAAATCCCAAATGAAAAGAAGAGTGTGCTGTTAATCCTCAGCTGATATAATTAACAGTCAAAGTTTAAAGCCCCCCTCCTCTAAAAAATATATATTTCTCGTCTTGTTCCTACAGTTGGATGTTTGAGCTTCACTGTGCAGAATGCTGTATGTGCAGAGTTTGACACTAGAAGAATATTTTCAACTTTCATCTGCTGAACGTGTAATGTTTCTCTGTGCTCACAAAAAATAATCCGATTTTAAGAGGCGGGGCCTATGAGCATGATTTGTGACATCACAAATAGTTCAACCCTTGTCCATCTATCATACAATAGTGATGTAGAAACTCGAAGCCACCACAGTAAAGTAGAAGACATCTTGTGTCCAAGCAGGAAAACTTTAGAAATTAACAAAATCTGCATATTCATAGATTGTAGAATTTTTAATGAGGTAGAAGCAGTTGATTTTGCTCTTTTAAGGATTTTAATGTAGAAATTAAATATATATATGTTGGGGTTTTTTTGCAGAAAATACATAAGGCAGACATTATTGTCCCAAGCAGGCTATTTCTATATATGTCTTAGTACATGTCTGGAGGACATGTCTGGATTTTTTTTACATTCTCTACATTTATTCTTATTCATTGTTACTGGGAAGGGCTCCAGTCCCACATGGCTCTGAATGAAAGCGCTGCCTGGATGCTAAAAACATTTCCATATGACAGGGTTAAAGTACACATAAAGCTAATTAAGATTTTTTTTTCATATCTGGTACTTAAATCAAATTCCTCTCCCTCTCTGTGTAACCCCTCTCCCGTATCCATCTGCGAGGCCCGGGTCTCCCCCTGTCTTTTCTGGCCATTGCTCTTTCCATCTGCGATTGCCCAGGTCTCCCCTCTCCTTCCTTATGGTTCCTGCAGTCTTGCTGCTTCTCCTGCCTGCTGTCTGCAAAATCTGTGACTCCCCCGTCTGTTTGGCCCTCGCTGTCCCTTGTCTGTGAGCCTCGCGTCTCCTCTGGCTCTCTGGCCACTGCACAGTCTTTGTTGCCTGTCTCGCTCCCCGTGAGGCCTGAATTAGCAACACGATTAGAGCCACACAATGCACACAAATGCAAAAAATAGAATCGGCCACATTGGTAGTTCTCTGACAATGTGTCGACAGTGATGTTGTTAATAATGTGCTGTGTGGTGTTTATGTGTGTCCTGGATGACATTTGCGGTTAGAATAAGTCGTAATATTATAGCAAATTAAGTCACAGCTAAAAATGTGTTTTGGTTTTATGTTCTGGTACTGAATTATATTTAGAAGGCTTTTCAGATTTTGTGGTCTTTGATTGGACGTGTTAAACAATCTCTCCTTGTTATTTTTCTGCCTATTTTCTTTCCAATCGGTCTTCGATGCCTAGTTTCAATGGTTCTTTCTTGGTTTCAAACGCTGGGGGACACAATGAAATAAAAGTCCAAACAATCAAATCTATTTCCACACGTAAATCAATCTACTTTTCTGCTGTTTTTCAGGAAAAAAGATTGCTTTAATCTCTTTAGTTACAGTTACATTTAAGAAATGATGATGAATTTGCTTATCACACTTGCCGTAATAAAGGTAGCATAACAAACTGCAATGCAATTCCCTGCTGTACTGATAATGCACTGATCTTAAAATCATGTTTAGTTTCCTTGATAAGGATGATAGGTAACATCATATTTGCATCTTTACCACAAGGAGCCCTTTGCTTTAAAGCCTTATTTTTGAACATAGAATATTAGCTGAAACTAAAAATACAGATTAAATGATCAAAAAGGTAGGTGAGTGCAGGTTTGCATACAGCCTGAGAGGCAAAACCCAGGGGTAAAAAATATGACACTCGATGCACCACTCACTGTTGCTGGTTGAGTTTATTGCTTTGAATCCTGCACAGTAACAACTGAAGGCGACTCATACTGTATGCACATATAAACAATTTAATCACCTTCTCTCCTGTCTCATCTGGATGATGGAGGCCGGACAGAAAGAGGACACTGTTTAAAGAGATTCTAGTAAGAAAATAGGATTTTAAAAAGAGAGGGGAGTGTAGATTACGCCCTTGCCGAGTTGTCATAAGAAGACCAGTTGATATGATTTTACCACAATAATGCAGTGTTTTACGCAGGTTTTTTGTTTTAGTCTTGTTAAATTGGCGTCATATTGTAGGAACATTTTTGAAATGCACAGACCAGTAGAGCAGCAGCAACCAATCTGACAGAACAAACAAAACAAAAGTGAAAATACTGACAATGTACACCACCGCTTTTATGACGAGTCATGTTTTCTCTGTGCTTGCCTCTGACACTGTAGGTAGAGATAATCCATAATCTGTGACAGGCTGATGTTTTGAGATTTAGTCTAAATATGCAGGGGGAGAAATTGGACAGGACAAAAAACATTTTACCATCTTATATTATGTCGGAAAATATGAAGTGAATATTTCATGTTGAATTGATCTTTTATGATTATTAAAAGTGATAAACAGTATTCTCCCTTGGGAATGATTCCCTTGCCTCTGTGTGTACACACTCTGCATAAGCTTATCTTTCTCTGTAGCCTTATATCTATTGATAGGTATGTGCTTACATGGCATTGTTTGTGTGTGTGCACTCCTGCTTTTAGTAATAGAGGACAGTGGCGTTATCAGTCAGGTGGATCAGTAGAATAGATTTAAGTAAGTGGACCCTTTGATCTGAAGCCTCAGGGAATTACTGATTACAGGCTGTCTGCTTTTCTTTGTTTCTCCATCTCCCATTTTCTGCCTCTCTTCCCTGATTTATCCTCTCTTTTCCCCCTCTCACCCTAAACTGCTCTTCTCCTGCTTTGATCCGACGCTTCCCCACATTGCCCTGGCTTCCCTGGAAAACCGGGAAAACTATAAATCCAATCTGCACACGAGCAGAGAATAGCTGCAGAGTCTCATTATTATGATGACTCTGTTCATGTCTCTTGTTCCTTTTATAATCTCTCTCTCGTACTCTTCATTCCCCTCGTCCTACACTCTTTATTCTCTCTAAGAGAGTGTAATTAACATAACTGGTACCTCTTTCATGCTGGCCGTGCGAGTGTGTGTGTGTTATTCTATTATATCATTTCAGATGTTAATTTAATCTTTTTTTTTATGTTGACGTTTTGTTTTTGGCAGTAGCTCTGTGTCAATTACACACTTTGTCGGTTTGTATAGGGATGATTGACATTAGAGTGTGATTACGCAGACAGTGAATATTTTGTTGGTTTTTGTGGCGCATTTCTTAAGATAATTGTCGTCGTTTTTTGTGCAAGGATGATGGAATATGGATTCACAGTTTGTCTCTTGGTGTTTGGGAATCAATTGTGAGTCTGAGGATGTTGATGTGGAGAGGGGGTGAAATGTTTTCGCAACACCACATCACTTTGATTGCACATTTCATTCGGAATGAATGAGGTGAGGAGGAAAACAAACAATTCGCTTCATCAATGTTGGCCTTGTCTCTTTGATGAATAGCTTTTGCTGCACTTTTTCTGCTCGCGACATTGGCAAATGATTGCTAACTTATGTTCTCTCTTCTGGTCTCTTTCTCTCATCTCCCCCTCCATCTTGCCTTTCCCCTCAAAACACTTCTCCTCTCATGCTCCCCCCATTTTGTTTCTCCTTTTACTTATCATCCCTTATATCTCTGTAATCTCTCATCCACATTTTCACCTTTTCATCTCCCTGCCTTATCCCGCTTCCACTTCCCACTCCTCTATCTCTATCCTCTGTGCAGGCGCTGACCTGTTCTCCAACTGCACGGAGGAGTGCAAAGCCCTGGGCCACTCCGACCGCTGCTGGATGCCGTCCTTCGTGCCATCTGATGGGCGCCAGGGGCCGGACTACCGCAGCAACCTGCACGTCCCCGGCATGGACGCCACGCTGCCCGACACTGAGGTACCCTCCTCCGTCAACCTCTCCGACCAACTCACCATGACCTCGTCCGCCGCTTCGTCCAACGATAGGTCATTCTCCACCTTTGGCAAGGACGGTCAAAGGTCACAGTCACACCACAGCCTTCACCATCACCTCCATCAGCAACAGCCGCAGTACAGCTCCAGCACGCTAGAGAGGAAAGAGTATGATAGGGGGACCCTACCGTACAAACCCACCTTTCTCTGTGAGTATCAGTATGAAAGTTCCCTGGGACCCTATGACTTTGGTCTGGTCCAGTACAGATACTAAAGGAGGGGACGATGAATCCGCCTCTTGATTCTGATCTGGACTTTTTATGTTGTTCATCAACTTTTATTTCTTCTATTTTTGAGGAGTTTTTAAAAATACAGCTTTATGATTTGTTGTTTTGCTTTGTTTTTGTTTTTTAAATAAATTATAATTTCTTTTGTAGAATGTAAAATGTAATCTATCATTGCTAATCCCCCTCCAAAAACCCATTCTGAAAAATTCAATATAACCCCATCCTAACCCTAAACACTGTCTGTAAACATGTGATTTTATTATAAAATAAACCAAATTTGAATTGGACTCATGTTAACCTGCTGTTGCCCCTTTTTCTTTCTTTTTCATTTTCTCTAAATTTCCCCTCAAAATTCTTTCCAATCAGCCTTTTTATCTGATGCTCATATTAGTAAAGGTCACGAACACAAGCACACGTCACGTTTCTATTCTTGCCATCTACAACACACCTACATTAAAACGCTGTTTGTAGTTTGAAACATGATTTAAGCGCATAGAGAGGGACTATAAGATAGATCATCTCATTTTGTAAAGGACATCTTTTTCCATTTGCTCAACAACTGAGTTTTGCTCGAGCACCATGACTTCCCTACTGAATAGCTTGAAAGGTGAAACACACAACCCACGCTCCTTCTTTTTCACAAGGATTGAGGTCCATTTTGTTCTAAAAAGGACGTCTCGCGTATCTAAACTCGCTTGCTTGCGGATCAATACCTGACATAGAGAAGGGTGGGTGAGGTGCGCTGTCAACCCTGAGGTTGAGATTCTTCAGTTGGAAAAGTGGCATACACACAAGTTTATGTGCAAGAAAGGAGGGGAACTATTACAACACGAGGAGGGTTTAATCTGGCAAATGAAAAATATTGATATCCATTGGAATAAAATTGAGTATCCAGCTTGCATTTCTTAAGAAGCAGAATGGGACTCTTTAGAAAAGGATGGCAGGACACTTCTTGCTGCATTCAATTGCTTTCCAAGCTTCACATTACATGAATATTCTATTAGCTCTAAGAGTAGAGAATGGATTCGATATACACATTCAGTAGAGAAGTCATTTCCAGTCAAGTCACCACCATGTTAACCACCATCCTCCATGATACTGCATGCTGACTGTGGGCCGTCTCTCAGGTAAACGATGAGCACCATAACCTGCTTCTTTTTTCTTTTCTTTTCTTTTTTTGCCCTTCCTTGTTTGTGACTTAGCAAACAGAGCCAAGCAATCTTCCTCTTGCACATCAGGGCTGTGTGAAAAATAATTTGTATTTAGCCTTTAGGTGCTAGAGCCTGCTTTGCTCCAAATATAGATGCCTGCGCGTCTGCTCATCTCGTTTGCCTTGCAGGGCTAGGATAAATGCACTCTATATTCGCTCAGTCCAGAACCCACAACTTTATTATATTTTATTTTACTTTCTTGATTTACGATTTCACCCGTTTTTTCCTGGTCTGTTGAAATAAATTGACCCCGTGCTGCCACGGCAAAGGTTTTGTTGTTCATCAGTCTGTAAAAAGATGAGAATAGTCCCAGAGGCTGAGGCTCTATTAACCAATAGGCATCATGTTCTACTTTTAAAAATAGCACCCTATGCTACTAGTGGCTACGGTAATGCTCTGATCACCAGGGTTGCCTTGATAAAGGTTTTATAAATGTTTAATGATCCATTTATAGATAATTAATGAAGCAATTAGTGCTCTGTGTATTTTCTATGCATGCATTATGTAGCCACCAAATTTTTTACATTTATCTTCACTGATGGACATGTTTTTTACCCAATTCCCAAATTAGTTTTACCATTACACTGCAGGACCAGCCTTTAGGGTATATAAATAACTTCACAGAGAGTCCTTTGTGGCATGTATCCTTCAAGAGATGGTATTTCGAGCCGGTTGTGTCACTAAAAAGTCTCGAGGGACTGGGTGCCATTTGTCTTAACAAGTGTGTTCTCTGTCTTTTCAGCCCGCAAAAGGATTTGCTAGCTCGTTCCACGTGGACCTGTCGGAGACAGCGTGAATTTCTGTACTAGACCACCAACACTGATGCTAGAGACAGCGAAATAAAACTAAACAAACAGCAACCTGGACAACAGCAACCTTGGTTAAGCTTCATTATCTTGGGTGGCGAACTGTAACAAAGCCTTGGCAGTAGTCGCTGAGGGAGGAGGGGAGAAATAAATACTGAGTAGCTGTAAACCTCTAGATATCTAAGGAGCAATCCAAGGCCTTATTCCTCTCAGCAGGACTGAGACCAGGGCCGCAACACTCAACATGTGAAAATTATAAAGTCATCAGCAGACAGAAGAGAGGAACTGAAATGAACGGAGGAATACAAAACAAGGAGAGGAGGGACCGATAAAGTCACAGAGGTGTTTTTGTTTTGTTTTTGACTGAGGAGTTAGCCTCTAGAGATCTGTGTGTGCCTGTTTACATGAAGAAAAAAAACTAATGTTTCTGTACAAATTTCAACCAATGTCACACGGAACCCTTTAGCTATTTCTATGGTCACCACTAAGCCAACTGTACAGAGACTGTGTGTGTGGGGGGGGGAGGGGAAGGAGGCCGACAGCCAGAGAGAAAGCGAGAGACTGAGAGAGAGAAAGACAATTAGACAGAGAGAGAGAGAGCGTGCGGTTGTTGTACAGGTATAAAATGAGAGAAAAAAAAGAAGGAAAAGAGGACAACCAGAGATGATGTGCAGTACTATAAATTCTGTATCTCCGTTTTTTTGACTTGACTGTCTTTATATAACTTCTCTTTTTTGTTTCTGTTGTTCTTTCTGTGTGGTTAAAGTGTGCAGACTCTAACGTATTCCAACTTACCGTTATAGAAAAGGAACATGCGGTCCGGAGATGGGTTCAGTCCTCTTTCAAGTTTAGCCACTTCAGGAAGGAGATTTAAACAAATACACTGCGTAGAAAAAGGAGCAGAAACGAGCCTCATGTTCAGTTTGTCAATAAAATATCACAAATGAATGTTCTCATTTCTAAACTAGCGACTAACTGTTCTCCAAGTTCCTTCCTGAGCTGACTGCAGAGAAAGTGAAATGACCCTTTACCAGGATGTGGTTCCCTTGATGCCATTGGCCTATACATAAACAATCAGACACACTCAGTGGTTTTTATCATGTGTGCAAAGTGTTTACTGTGCTATTTTAAAAAGCTTATAAATGAATATAAATCTATATATAACTATATATATACAATATACTTTTTTCTGAAAACTGTGTAACCATTGGTTAGTTTCTACACCTCATAATGTCATTCAATCTAATAATACCAAGTGCTACAAAATCAAGACTTGTATCGATTCATACGAGGAGGAGTGCTTCAGCCTGAAAAGCAAACCCCTTCTCGCCAACCAAGGATTAAGTTGATGTTCTTATTTGATTGTTACTTTTCACCGTTTACAGACGCTGGGCCTTGTCGTGTGTAGCGAAGACACCAGTTGAGTTGTTTTGGCCTGTTGTGTATTTTTACTAGCAGAATATGTGTTCATGTACAGGAAGGGGGACTATCACAATCGAGCTAGATATCAAAGGTTTTACAATCATACAAGAGAGGCATACACATAAATATGGACATAAACAGACAATACATGGTGAGGCGCAGCAAACACACACACACACACACACACACACACACACAAACACACAGGTCAAGTGGTGATAAATAAACAGTGTCATTGAAATTCTCAAATGTGTGTTTTGTCACTTTGACTTGGGAGTAATATGGTGTGACTGAGCAGTGTTAAAGCTAAGCAGGTATAACGTTTACCATTTTCCCAGTCTTAGTTTAATAGTCTTAGCTAATATAGACTATAGACTTCAACTAGTATACAAAATAGTGCAGCTGAGGCTGATGGGAATGTCATTAGTTTTGCAGTTATTTGGTCATAAACCAAAGTACTGGAAGAATCAGTGTTTTGACCTGATGCTTGTTGCAATTGTTTCTACCAAATGGTAGGAGATATTTCTGTTTGGACCAACGTGACAGACCCTCTAACTGACCGACAGACTGACATTGCCATCCCTGAAGCCACGCTGCTAGCAGGGCTAAAAATAATGCTGTAAACCTGGATTAAAGCAAGTCCTTTGTTACAGTCAGAGGAAACAAGATGTACAAATGTTCATGACAAAAAGCTGTGGACCATTTTGTCCAATCAGACCTGGTTCTCTGCTCCTCATAGAGAACGTCCACTGCTTCCAGTGGTGTTTTTAGCACATGAATTTTATTGAAAAGATATTCAGCTATCCCAAAAGAATCTCATGGACTTTCAAGATGTAATCACCATGGTTTTGCTCTACTTTCCTCATTCGCTGACCTCAATAGCTCACCAAAAAAACTTTTCTGGTGCCTGTCACTCTAGTCTTGCGTCTGTTTCCTTAAAAAAATCACCGATGCCATCCCCATACATCCCAATCCCACCCCTTCACTCCAGTGTGATACATGGCCTGGCACAAGATCACAGACACCAGAAGAAGAACGCTGGAGTCTGGATCTACAGTGGCCAATGAAGTCTGGGGTCATGAGGGGAGACGCAGCAGTCCATCACTTGACAGCCTAAAAACAGAGACGATCTGTTTGTGTCGATCACAAGATTATTTTCTGTGAGTTTTTTTTAACTAGCAGGGATACATGTGACCAGCGCATGTTCTGATCTGGTGGTTGCCTTCAGGAATGAACAGCCTTTGGGGTTCTGATTAAAATCTCACCCAGAAACAATCCAGCGTATATTTATGTCTGAGAGTGGAAAATGGGGAAAGAAAAAATTTAAAAAAGCAAGAAGTCACAGCTTGGTTTAGTTTGGTAACAACGGGGTAAAGCTGTGGTATTCCTCAGACATCATTATTACTCTATTAAGATTTTACAGTGATATTTGCCGATTATTACTGACAGAATTACCCTGACAAAACCTAATTACAGTGAGCAAATTATCTTATTGTTACCCTGCTATTCCCGTGTTATTACTGTAATGGTTTACCTTTCCCCAGTGTGACACTGTTTTGATTGATGATTGCCCTATTAGAATAGTTAATTACCTTTACTAAGAACTGGGAATGTCATGTAACAGGCAACCAAGGGCTTGTTATCGCTTGACATTTCTTGGTGCTAATGATATGTGACTTTCGGTATTAATAGCAAACTAATTTTCTTTTACACTTAACAAAACCTTTCAAACCAGATAGTGCATCAACGTAAAAGAACTTAGCCTGAATAAAATACAATTTAAGGTTAGAAAAGAGTCCTGAATTCAAGAAAACGAGTCTAAAGGCTGTGGTGTGCTCAAAATGAACTGGATTGTACGATTTGTCTTCCAGTGACGTCGGTTAAGTTGACAGCCTTTCTGAACCGCCACGCTTGAAGGCAAAAGCCTAATAATAATTAATTTGAAAAGGCATTCATAGTGAACACACAAAAATTGACAGTAGTAGTACTTTTTTTCTGTACTACAAAATAATCTTTCTGTAAACCCTAATATTACCAAGATTTCACCACAGTATTACCCTAGTATTATCATATTGTTACCAATATGTTACACCCTCAATACTGCCTGCTTTATATGCTGTAATGTAATGACAAAGGTTGAGCAAGTAGTCGACTGAAATAATTTAAAATGTGTAAAATGTGTCAGTATATGTTTTTATATTGGTGCCAGTAAATATTCTTCTGATACATTATTACATAGAATACTGTATAAACATATTTAAAAAAATATATATATTTAACAAAATATGTCAAACTGCATCACTAATAAAGTACTTTATTTACTGACAAACTACCACTTTGCCAAAAGAAAATATAGTTTAAAATTTGAAATGTTTCCTGATTTAGCTGAGGAAATATTCGGTCAAATAATAAACAAACAAGTCTAAGATTCTTCCCAAGCATTCAATGTCAACGTCAGATACACAGTTTACAATGCTACAGACACATTTAAGTTAGTAATTGATGATTAGATGATAAAAAAAACAACAACAACATTCTTAAGTCAAGGTCCAGTTACTAACTTTATTCTGAGTAAAACTGCAGTTGTTGACCATGAATGATCAAGAATGAATCATGCTTTGTTTGATATCCAGCTCTAGTGCTATTATAAATGGAAAGAAAGTACAGACAAACATCTTGTCTTCACCAGGCAAGCCAGATGACCTGTGAGTAGAGACTGACATTCTATCAATGGCTGTGAGTTCACCTGATCTGGTTGTCCTTTAAGGCGCCTCCATGGCAGACAGAGAGAATAAGAGTCATTACAACTGAATCATCTTGTCCATCTCTCCTCTTCTCTCCATACAAGGTTGAGTGAGGTGACCTGGCTGTCTGTCTGAGCCTCAGAGCCTGTCCTTCATATTCTTCCCCTGGCAGACGCACTTCATTACTCTGGCTAAATAGACTTTCAAGAGACCCCATCAGCCATCATTTACACAGCCCGGCCCTATCACCTTTCACCACAGCCACCTCATCAGACATACACACCCTGCTATTCACACATGCACTACATGGCACGCTCATGCAGACACACATGTACGAACTGGATGCACATACTGCTTTCCTTCCACCTTTGCTTTCTTATCCATCACCACCCCATCAGTCAACACACACGCAATTTCACACACACACACACACTCGGGCATCCTTGGGCTCTATTCCCCAGCCACCTCATCAGGCAAGACCAGACAGCTATTACAGTGTGTGCTCCGATGCCCATTTCTCCTCCCATCTCTTTCCTTATCAGCTGGCTGGCTAGGTCTGCAACAACCTACTGACCTGAGACGTAGCCTCGCTGCCCCGTTGACCTGGATGTACTTTGTGAGCATTTAACGGAATGCCTGCTATCTTTCCACCTGCCAAACTCCATCCAGCAACTGTTCATTTTATTCATTTCACCTCAGGTAAGTCAGGTTTAACATTGTGTTTGCCACTCGGGCCAAATAGTTGTCTGGTTTATGTCACGATGTCAGGATGTTTCAGGAAAGCAATGGCTTACCAGCATGATTCAGTTTCAGTTCAGTTTACTGAAATCTTTCCACTCCACACAGCATTGGAAATATATTGGTATCACACCTCTCAACAGATATACAAAAAGACAATAAAATAAAAATAAGTGTTGGTTGCTAAACAGTCATTTGAATGCATAATGTCGCATCGTTAGCGCAAATATAATTTTTTTTGATTAGATCACTTCCAGAAATAAATTCTCTGAATGTGAATGTATTTAAAGTCGGAATAAAATATTTTAAATTACATTGTTGATAAAAAAAAAAATCTAATTAATCTGTGGTCTGAAATGCACTCTTATGCAGGTTGTCTACAGTTTTTTCTCAGGTCTTATTGAAGATGCTGTTGACAGCAGTTTTTTTTTTTTTACAGTCTGATAACTCCACAACACCATGGACAGATTGCACCAGAAAGCCATCCAGGCCAAAATTACCTTCATCTCTGTTTTTCTTATCTGCTCCCAGGAATGAATCAGAGTCAGGTACTTCTTGGTTTGTTTGTTTCCTAAGATGACCAAACCACTGAAGCCACAGTCTGTCTTCACATATTTGGTCCAAACTTGTCTGAGCAGTAACAACACTGTGCATAAAACTAATAACTACAGTAAGTTTTGAATTTCGCCTTGATGTCAATTTTAAAGCTGCACTAATCAATGTTTTTCTATTACCAATTAAATTAAAGATGACTGTGTAATAAGAAAGGTGTCTTTCTTAATGATGAATTATCACTCTACTCTGCAGTTCTCTTCAGTTCTATGTTTTAGCATCTTTTAGCTAACTGTTTTGGTTTACTTTCTTGGCGCTCATCAGCCTCATTTCCAGCTGTTTGCAGCAGCAAAAGCTCTGACAAATTAATTGTATGCTACCTGCCCAAAACCAAACAGACTAGCTTGTGAACAGGGTGGTGCATTGAACAGCTAAGGACCTTTTCATGCTTACATAACTTGTGTTGATGTGATAATGTGCGTCTGCCCCTCAAGTCTCCAAATATTCATATATCAAAACATATAAAATATGAATGCTTTAAGATTGATTTCTGTTTTGTCCAAGGCCTACATTTTTTTTTTTTAGTAACTGAAGATAATGTGCTGCCACAACAGAATGTAAGTTGTTTTGATATGAAGATAAATGTCAGTAGACAGTAGAATCGCATACTGTATGTAAAATGACATTCTGCATACAAAGACGAGATATGTCGCCCTTCTGGGCTCTGTCAAAACCCGGGCAAAAAACTATAGATTTTTGGCTTGGATCACAATTACTCTGCTTTTTCAATAACACCACGCACACACTCACAGGGCCTGAAACGTCCTGCCTACAGCCACCATCCCCTCTCATTCAATATTCTGGACAGGAAGTAGTGAGTTGGTAACCTGGGGTGACGGAATCAGGCCTCTGACTCACGCCCTGACCTCAAGGGGGGAACAACCCAGTGGAGGACAGACCTCAGCCTCCAGCGCTATAGGCTAATGCAACATGCCTGACAGAGACAAACAGGCTAACCGCAGAGCTAGGATGACTACTATAAAAGAACAAACACCACTGAGAGCTATGCCTGCACGAAAAGCAAAAAAAAAAAAAAAAAAAAAAAAAAAGAAAGAGGGCTGGGTTAATGCTGGTATGATAGTGGAACAAGAAAACAGCCTTCATGGATGCCGGGGAAAACAAATTCAATTTCAAAGGTTGTTAAAAAAAAAGTGA